GATAATGATCTATTGACTATTGTCAAACTATCTGACAATCCAAGTTCTCCCGTAGTCTCTTTATACATGCTCGTCCTCTGCGAGATATCTGTCTCCGGATGCTCTTGTTGAGCCCTATAGGTTTATTTAATACGTAGTGGCTCACGATGCTCTCCTAACTTATGGGTGAGCCTCTCGTACCGGTGAGCCCGTGCGTGCGCTTTTCTGATCTGTTTGACCTGTAGAGTAATACGGCCTTGCTCATTTGGGTCTGTTATGCTACCAGTGCTATAGTTGGCCCGTGTGTTCTTATAAGTTCATAACATCAGGTAAGCCTTAGTGAAAGTTGTAATATTTGACAAAGAGGAAAAAAAAAAGGCTGTGCCAGTATGGCATGGAGCTTATAGCTAAATTTACAAGAGAGGTGTAGGTATCAAAGGTGCCAAAAACGCCAAGGTCAGAAATGTAGTTCGTGCAGCGCACCCTAGGAGTGCACCCAACCGGAGGGTAAGCTTAGCTTATATATAATTCAAGCCAGGCAAATACCCTGGGCGCCAGCCCTATGACATCTTTATAATCCTAAAAAGTAGAGCGCAAACTACAGCTTAAAGCCAGATAAATTCATTGCCTTTGAAAAAAGATACCTTAGTTAGGGACCCCAATCAGCATTTGCTGCTCGCGCTGAACCCTCCTGTCCGCGCTCGTGCATAGACTTCCATAAATTCCGTAGCTGATTTGAAGTAATAGAGGTCAACGCTGTTGGAGGGAAACCTCAATGGAAGAAACCTCCAAAATTAGTCCATTGTCCTTCCTTAGTTGAAAAGGAGATAATCGATGTAGTTTTTGATATCATTGAGGATTGAAGAAGATATAGTGATTAGAATATGGTCCAGCCGTTTTGAGCTCAGCAAGCGACGCCCTAAGGCAGAGTTTTCAAGATGGTTATTATTTGATGCAGCTTGTGCCCAGTGAACGGTACTATTCTTAGCACTTTTTTATCTTCTCCGAATAGTAGATATTGTTGAAGAGCTCGGCTTCGAGAGCTACTGGCGTTGTCGTAGACGGAGGTCAACTTTCCAGAATCCCTCCGCTAAAGGTTAAAATGGTAGATTACGCTATTGATAGCCCTAAGGTACCCAAAGATACTAAAAAAAGGTAGTTCTTGGCTTGGCTGCTAACAATTGACTAACAGCAGGTACCAAAAAAAATTATTTAGGAGAGAGTTATTTTTAGAAATTTGGTCAATGGTTATTGAAAAGACTTAGTTATTTTGAAAATCTTAACTATGGCTCCCGTCTTATTATTCAAAAAAGTTAGTTGAAAAGCATAAATTTCAATACCGAAGCGAATGTTCTTAGGGAGCTCGGCAAAATGCCTGCAAGACCCCGCCAAGGCTGGCGGAAGCTGGTTGCACCTGTCAAAGCTGGGTCAGGGGGGTTAATTGACAGTTCATATTAGAAGCCACCGTACACTCCGATAAGGCCTATGGACAACCATCCCACTTCGGTTTCCAGCGGCCGTACTCTGTACACATTGGATTAGTGAGACGGGTGAGCCGCAATGGAAGTTTCATCAGTTGCTTCCGTAACATTATCCGGATATTTTTTTCTCTTTCCACTCCAATTGATGAAGTACAGCAATGGAACACTGAGGCCCGGGCCAGGTTTGCGGTGCACACACACACAACCCGCCCCGACGACGGCAGGAGATGCAACCACAGGATGTGAAGCCCGAAAGTTCTACGGACGTATATAAGGTCTCCTTGTCTTTACACCTCTCAGTCCGAGTCTTGAGCAGATTTTGAGAGTGAAACCGCAGAGCACAACTGATCTGAAAGAGTATGCCTGAACACCAAAACCCCAACCACTTCAGGTTATGGCATATTCCGGAGCAAAAGAGCCAACGACGATGCCCACTGTTCAAATTCTCCAGTCATTGGACTCATTATACGCGGAACATGCCACAGAAGGAAGTCAAACTGCAAGCCACACAGGCTTCTAGCTTGCTTGTCGGAGGATCGGAACAGAAGGCAGTTGGATATTCATGCAAGATACACCTGCATAGAGGTCAGTGTCCAAGTCTAATGGACATGGTTGTCTGCATCAAAGCTCTTGAGATATTACTCTATGTATAGAGTCCGCTTCTCCAATCCCCGCGGCCCGGATGAGCCGTACCGAAGGCTACCCAGCGGCATGTTTAGTTGGTATCGAGCGATTGGCGAGCTTACCGGTTCTTCTTCTACTGAAGGCCTTTATGCCTGTTGATGAAGGTGTCGAGGAGATGATACCCGTTCGGCACAGATCTCATCCGACCGTTAACACCTAGTTTTTGAGTCTTCGGTATCGGCTTGGCTTGCCGTCGTCTATTGTTCCGGTCCGTTGGCTGTCAAACAAGAGCACCCTGCTGAGACCACGGCGAGAATTGTTATTCGGCCTTCCTCGGGGCTTTTGTCGTGGAAGTGGCTTGTTATCCCCCGCACCTATCATGGATATCTCTTTCCATACCGCATACATATCACCCTGGTGGTCGATCTTTTATGTCCAATGTTTGCTTTCTCGCACTCGCTTGGTTGGAATTGGTTTAGAGAGATCATGAGACAACGCCCAAGGCCATGGATGAGGGTATAGAAAAGAAAAGGAAGAGGTATAGTGTAAGGCTTGGGAATTATGAAAAGCCTTGGGCCTTGGCTCACCCTGGACTGTGATGTTGATCCTTCCATCTCAAAGCTCCTTGTCCCCCGTCAGACAGTTGGTAAGCACGGGCAGTCCTGTCCTGTCGTCTGTCACGTTGTGACTGGAGCTGCAGAACGTTGGCACCCGAAGCGATCAATGCAAGGTCTCAGACTCCGTCTCGTCCCGTCCTTCTCTTCTCGTCTATCACCTCGCTTGTCTCTTCAATTCCTTGGTCAGCTTGGTGCCGTGTCTGGGGGCTCTTCGCCTCTGTAGAATTGTACCTGCCCCTGGCACACTTTACAAGCACCCCACCTTTGCCAAGCTCAGGTACCCACCGGCCGGGGACCTCGTCTTGTTCTCTCGCGTTTTTTGGTGCTGCTGGTGTTCTCTCACTGCTCCGGGGTTCCATTTTCACCCCCATTTTGGACCACAAGACCGCGGATCATCCACTTCATCGCCGGGGTGCCTCGTGTTTTTGAACAGAACTCCGTCCTTTTCTGGGTCAGCAAGCCTAACTTAACGAATCAATTATTCTTTGCTCGGTGACGGGGCTCGACAACATGGCAACAAGAGGTGTGCTATATCAAAGTCATGGCACTTTCCACAAGGCCAAACAAGATGAACTGCCAGAGGACATGGTCACCACCGCCATGTCAAGAGGATTCCCAATCATGACCTGTCTAGAGACCTCTGCTCTCGAAAAGAGAGGCTGACGAACGTGGACCACGACTCCCGTCCGTGCCATAGGCACACCTCACCACACTCACCACACCACGGCGTCTTCCCGAAGGTGGCCCGATGCTACACTAACACAGTTTGACTATTCCTTGTGTGGACTCTTGTGTGTGTCTTGTGCAATCCAAGCATGCAGCTACAAAGTGGCTTGACCCCTTGTCTACTTGACTTTGGACCACTACACCACCAAGAACTGATACCTACACCTTATACCCTCGACGCTTTTACGTGCTCAGCCAGCTACGCTATGACTGAGGGGGCTAGCCAAAGACTCGGGAGAGCTTCTAGAGGTGACAGTGCCACTTCAAAAGCGTGAGCCATCCCCGGACATCTCCACCATCCGAGTGACACAAAGCTGCTAGGCCATGGCTTGTCGGTGAAGAACATTCCTGCAAAGTCATCTATCCGACTCACTCCTCAGGAACTTCTGAAGTTGGGCGATCCGAGGCAACTTACGTTGAAGAGAGGTATGTACAGTCATGGTAACCGCTCGCAAGACACTATTCTACACTAGAAATGTCCCGTTCCTCTCCGCCCCTCCCACTCTCTCTCCGTGCCCCCTTTACACGTCTTCCACACCCAAAATATCCACTCCGATATACTTCGCTTTATCCATACAAGAGTGCTGATTAGTTGGCCCAACTAGTCACAGCTTCAGACACCTATCCCAAGCCTGTGGAGAGCTGCCAGGAATCTTGATCTGCTAGCCAATATCATCCATCTTGGAGATCATTGCATAGAGCTCTGCTGGTCCTATATCAGGCTATATGTAGATCTCTGAACACTGCTGGACCAGAAACATACCCCTGGACAAGCCTAAACCTTAGCTGAGTGGGCTTTTCGCTTTTAGGTCCTCCTTAACAGTGTCGCCACGGCAAGCTCCGCCCTACCCGTTCGTCTAGCCTGCAACCACCACTTGGGCTCTTCTCTTCCACCAGCACCTGTTCGCCAGCAGAGATACCTCAGCTCTGTCAAGCTCTCTTCTGTCTTTGACACCTCGGCAAAAGCAAAGCTGAGGTTGCGGCCTGCTTTTGCACCCTACCCATCTTTCCTCATTCCTTCGCCCTATTTTCGAGGTCCAAAGTCTCCCGCAACTAAACCTCCACTACCGGATACCTAACGGAAGGATCTTTGTTGTCCGCAACACTTCGCGGCCGAGTGCCGGATTGCGGCTTACAAGTCACATTAAGTGTCTCACCCACACACCTTCGAGGAGCTGCGTTGTTGCGGTATCTCCCCCCGTCCATTCTTTGTTGTCACCGGCTTGCTTCAGGGTTCGTACACCAAGCGGAGATTTATTATCCACTCGCCGCCCTCACTTACACTTGTCACTTTGTCTCAGCTGGCCAATCTGGACTCGGGTGGGCTTTCGGCTCAGTGTTTCGGAGACGGAGAGACATAGCAGCATTCCTTACATCCGGCCTTGTCACCACTTCTCCGCTACTTCACCTTGCGTGTGGCCTACTCGATGGTGTTATTTGTCTAGGCCACCCTTTCACTCTTAAGCTATTTCAGTATAGCATGAAAGAGTCGGGACCTTCCTGAATTTCTTGCATCAAAATATCGTACGACAGATCGCATACGAGGCCAATTTACGAAGCTTTACCATGGATTCCGCGGGAGCTGGAGGTTCTCCGGAGGGAGTCTCCTCTCCAGAAAAAAAGCCGCCAGCATCTTCATCCGAAGCCAACACGGGCACTGGCGCTCCTGCAAGTGCCGGTACCGGTGCGGCGGCATCGGGTAGCCAAGAGAACCCCCAAAAGAAGGCCTCAGTTAGGAAGAGAACAAAGACTGGCTGTCTGAGTACGCAACATCCCGAAACTGCGATACGCAACCCCAGTCGATGCTGCTTATGATTGCTGACATGCTACAGCTTGTCGAAAGCGACGCATCAAATGTGACGAAGCCAAGCCGATCTGTAACAACTGCACCAAATCCAAAAGACAATGTGAAGGCTACAACCAACGACTGACTTTCAAGGAGCCTCTGGGATCTTACGGTCATGGCCCTACTCACTTCGGGCATCCCGTCTACCATCAGCAGAACCGAAACCAACCTATCGGTGCTCCTCTGACGGCTACCCAAGCGAAAGCAGCAGCACAACAAGGACCCCTTGCTGCCATTGCTCCAAAGCCACCGCAAGCCGATTTTACTGAGACGGTGCCCATGTCCTTTGCGGCGCCACAACAACAACAACAACAACAAAACAACAACAACAACAACAACAACACTGGACTGCAACCTCTCTTGACAACAACAACAACAACAACAAAAACAACAACAACAACAACAACAACACTGGACTGCAACCTCTCTTGACAACAACAACAACAACAACAAACACAACAACAACAACAACAATGGACTGCAACCTCTCTTGACAACAACAACAACAACAACAAAGCAGCCAGACACACGATTCCATTCTGGCCGCTCAAGCAGGAGGTCCGCCTTTGCAAACATCCTTCTATGGGCAACAACTACCTAGTCCCAGCCAAAGCATCTCTCCAGTCGGTCCTCCGCCACCGCCGGGCCACCTCCCTCAACATGCGCACGAGAGCACCTTCCAGTTGATGTCTCCGACTCATGGCTATGACCCGAATCTAGTAATTGAGGCAGGTCCATCCAACTATAGCCAAACCTGGACACCAACACCTAAACAGCACCGCCGTATTCTCGAAGAGGATGGGTTGCAACTTGGCGTCAATGGCTTCGTTAAGGAGGGAATGTACTGGCAGTCCGATGATGAGGCGTCCATGGCCGACTCGGAAGACGACGACATCCCCATGGATGTCCACGATGCGCATCTCGAGTCTAATGACCTCGGTATCCACGTGGCCAGGCGGCTAGAAGCCACGGCGGACGCCTACGGTGTTCGGATGAGGACCGTGGCTGGGTTCCCGGAGCTGAACGTCTTACAAACGTACATTCCTTCGTCCATGAGCTCGCCCTTGAACGACTCCCAGACTGCGGCGGTATTCTGGTACTTCGTCAACGTCACCGGGCAGAGCATGTCCCTTTACGAAAGACATCCCTTCGACCCTACACCCATGTTCCAGGGCCAACCAGTGCCCAAGACAAGGCAACATATCTGGACCTACACCTTTCCCATCATGGCCTTCAACCACCCGGCGCTTATGCAAGCCATTCTCGCCCTAGCCGGTCTGCAAATAGCCAACCTAGCCCGCGTCCCCGCCACAGCAGCCATGAAGCACTATCATCTCAGCATCCGCCGAGTCGCCCGAAACTACCAAAGCGCCAGCCGGCGCGTACAGCCCGCCACGCTCGCAGCCACGCTCCTACTCGGCTACTACGAGGTCTGGAACTCAGATCACGACAAGTGGTGCCGGCACATGTGGGGGGCGCGGGCCATCATGAAGGAGATTCCATTTCTGAAGATGACCAAGGAGATCTTTGCTCACCAGCGAGAACGACGACAGGCCGGGTTCGTCGGACATCCCTGGATGGATCCCAACGCTCCGCTTGATCCTGATCTCACGCTTTACGAGGTCGATACGGATCTGATCAGCCAGCTGATGGGCATAAAAGTCACTTATGATGATCCCGAGGTGGCGAGCAAGAAGGGGCCGTATACCGAGAAGGACATCGAGACTTATCAACAGCTGAGGGATCTGTATTGGTGGTATTGTAAGATGGATGTTTATCAGAGCATTTTGGGTGGGACGAGGTTATTGTGAGTTTTGCCGTGCCATGCCGAAAGGACTGTTGACAAGACAGTTTGCTGACAAGGATGAACAAACAGTATGCCGTACGAGCAATGGGCTCAGTGTGCGCCGAGAGGAGAGTGCGGGAGGATGGATGCCGTGTAAGCCGAGTCTACCCTTTACCGAACAATGTATATGCTAATCATACCCTTAGTTATGGCACCTTCGACCACATCATGCTCCTCTTGGGCCGCGTAGCCAACTTCGCCTCCCGAGACTTAACCCGCAAGCGAAAAGCGCGGCGAGCCGGTGGTGGTCCTCCTGGCAGCGCTGGACGAGGCCAATCTCAAGGACCGCCAGGACAACAAGGACCACCAGGAGGACAAGGACCACCACCACCAGGGGCAGGCCAAATGCCTCCCGGCTGCCAAGGCGGTCCTCCTCCCGGCCACGCCGGCGGCCCACCCCGAGGCGGCCCCCCTTCCTCCGCCGGAAACGGGCGCGGTCAATCGCCCCCTCTCTTTGCCGGCCTCATGCCCACCAAGGGCGGCAAATTCGTCCCACCCCAAGGCTTCTCCCCGCCCCGCGACCAAACCCCCGACACCGAAACCTCCGACGACGTGGACTACGACACGGCGACCCACGCCGCCTTCCGCGAATGGGAAGAAATCCGCGCCGCCTTTGAACTCTTCCGCTCTCAACTCGGTCCCGACTTTGAGCCCATGGGCCCCGACCTTGCCACGCCCGAAAACACGCCCTTTGGGCCGGCCCTGATGTACAGAACCTACAGCATAGCGGGCATCTGGATGAATTACTACATGGGACTGATTGCCCTGCAGCGGGCGCACCCTTCCATGCCTCCCATCGCAATGATTGCTGCGGGCATGTCAGCGCAACAGACGGCGCCGTGGGCGTATACCGTGGCGAGGATTGCGGCGGGACTGCATGAGGATACGAGCCATGTTAGTGCTGTTAGTACGTTGGTCGGGGCGGCGTTCATTGAGAGTGGGTTTTGTTTGTTTGTTGCTGGTATTCAGGTATGTCTTTTTGTCTCTTTGTTTTTCTTTACCCTTTTCCCTCTTCCCTCTACCCCCGTTTCATTCCCTTTCCCTTCTTCTGTCCAGCCCAACTAACAACACCTTAGTTCCAATCCCCTCCCCAACGCCACTGGCTAATCTCCCGCCTGCACGACTTCGCCCGCTTAACAGGGTGGCAATCCGCCCGCCAGATCGCCGACGGGTGCGAGTCCGGGTGGATGAAAGCCGCCGAGATGGGTCGCGGTCCTCCCTATCGTCGCCCGCCTGAGCTGGATAAGATCTTTCCTTCGAGTTTACCCGTTTGGATGAGACCGAGACGTATCGATAAGAAAATTAGGGAACAGGAGGCGAGGCAGGCGGGGGATAATCGGCTAGTGTTGGCTAGGACGGAACATGCGCATTTTGCGCTGGGATTACTTACTGTGGAGCAGGATTTGGATCGGTTGGAACTGAGTGAGGGGGAGGGATCTTGAAGGGGAATGTAAGGGAAAGGGAATGTTGGGAGATAACGGAACTTGGATAGGGTTGAAGCCAAGGGGGTACTTTTGGGTAGGGAAAGGAGGATGGTGGCGTGTCTGGTTTGGGATGGGATGAGGGTATGGGGGTAATATGGGAATTATATAATTCGGGAGTTGAGGGTTGGGCTGGGAAACAAGAGTGAATTGAGCGGACTCGAAACGAGCGAGCGTATAGCGGACAAATATCTAGTCATTGTGGATGGCTCGGGAGAAAATGTGGTGTGTCAGATTTACTGTTTAAGAGGGTAGAACGGAACCCAGTCCGACGAGAAGAGATGGTGTTGAAATGAAGGGTGTGTTGACTGCCGATCGACTTTCAGGTCCGTTACTCTATGTGCATTTTCGTCCTCGTAAACTTGCAACCATGGGACATGATGAAACTTGGGTTTGGAAATTGGCACATATCATAAAAAGGGGCAACTCGGAGGCTACCGACCACCAAGGAATACTTCGTAAACATCAGTTGGATTTGATTCATTAGACAGGTCTCCCATCAAAAACCGGGAGAATGCTGCTTCCCACCGTTCGCCTGCTATCACCAGCTATGCTTTAGTCTCTTACCCCCTTCAACAACAGACACTGCCATGCTTCTTAGTTGGCGGGCAACCGCGCAACAACAGCGGCCATCTCCTCGTCTGTGTATATCCTGAAGCCCTTCTCCTTGGTGACACTCGCCAGCTGCACGTTCTTGGCATCGAGCTTCTCCTCCATGACCTGCTTGAGCGTCTTGAGGACGAGTGTCTCGGCGTCTTCGATGGTGAGGGACTGTATGAACCATAGGTGTCAGTAAGCTACTATAGATCTTGGTCCCTGGATTAAAGAGTAGGCAACCCACCTTGTGATACTCATTCTGCAACTCCGCCTGCGCGCCCTCGCTACCGCTTCCAATAGCCTTCGCATCATAGCGATAGAACGTTCCGCTGGGCTCAGCATGGTACAGACTAGGACCGTCCTCATCATAACCCGCAATCAGCAGCGCCACACCAAAGGGGCGAGACATGATGCTCTCCTCGCCGTCGGCGCTCTCGCCGAAGCGCAGGGCCAAGTCGCAGATGGCCTGCGTGCAGCTCTCGACCCGCAGCTTCTCGTTGTAGTTGAAGGCGTGGCTCTGGCACTCCACGCGGGCGTGCTCGACCATTGAGCGAGCGTCGGCTTGCAGGCCAGACATGGCGCATCCGATGTGCCGGTCGATCTCGACGATCTTCTCGACGGAGGAGGTTTCGAGGAGAGTGGAGGTCACGCGCTTCTCGACGCCGAGGATCACGCCTTCGCTGGTGGCGACGCCGATGGCGGTCGAGCCGAGCTTGATGGCCTCGAGGGAGTACTCGACTTGGAAGAGGCGGCCTTCGGGGGAGAAGGTGCTGTGGGCATTGTTAGTCTGGTGTGGGTTGGAGTAGATGGGTGCTTGGATGTAGGTGTTCGCGGGTGGTGGTATATGGTCGGTGAAAGGAGAGTGTCATCGAGGGACATGCGATCGAGTAGCGGCTGGATGGAGCATGGGGAGAGAGAGTGGCCAAGCAAGCGTGAGGGTCGTTCGTTTTGTCACTTACTTGATACCCCGATCTGGACAGGCGCAAGCAGGTCAGCCTTCAGTCCATACATATTGTTTGGTATAGCTCATTCACTTGAGTGGCATCATTTCAAGCGTGTAATGACAAGCGAATATCGCAGGCAAGTGAGGGCGGGAGTGACTTACCGTATTCAGACCTTGCCATAAACATCTTGACGGTGTTGAGGGGAGCTCGAGTGGGGAGAGGGGACCGGGATGTATTGTTGTCGGGAGTTAAGCCTAGCTTTGCTGATTATGCGCCGGGCTTGATAGGTGACGGTCGGGAGATGGTATTGCCGTCGAGGTTTCAAAGTTGAAGACTGATATGTGAGTGGTTGTTTGTTTGGGGAGAGATGTGCCGTGATGGTTTGGATGAGGAAGTGGAAGCTGAGGCCTGAACTGGGACCGACGTCAAGCAGTGGATGGGAAGCTCCAGGCACGACACGCCGACGAAGCTCCTCTGCCAGGCGGCCAATCCCCTGCACCCTGTCCTAAAAGGTACTTGGGAGGTACGTACCTTCCCCAGCAATTGTCCAGGCCATTTCAGCCTCAAAAGACAGCGCCTGGGGGAACCCCTCAGGCGGGTTGCCCCTCCCTGTGACGGAAACCGCTGGGCCATCCACTGAGACGGCTTGCTTGGTGGGCAGTTGCGGGTCCTCCCTCTTGATAACGCGTCCAATTGTTGCTTGTCGCGTCACTTCAGCGTCTTCCGCCGGCACTCCAATATCCAACGGGACGGCATCCTCTCTCACTGTTTGACTGCGGTTGCTACCTTCTTGGCATCGTAATTCCTCCATTTCCATATCCAAAAATCCATCGCCAGAAGCGTCCCCTTGCAGGACAACCCTGTTGTTGCCCGGCGGATTCCCGACGACAGCTACACCGACCACATTCAACTATCGATCATAAGGCTGACAAGCTAAAAGTCCAAAGATAATGTACCCTTAGAAGGGGTCAACATCACCGGGTCTCAGACCGTCAACCTTCACCACCAAATTCAGGCCCGATACGCCCGATCCCAGATCAAGCCCAGCGAAGCACGAGAGGACGCGAGAGCTCGTACATGGTCACGAACCAGCAAGAATAGTGACATCGATAACAGCCTCCCACTTTCCCGACCGCACCGCCGCCAGAGTGACCTCCGCAATGGGATCATCAGCAACCTTGGCTCCGACCCAATCCACATCACAGACACGTCCCACCAGTAGAACCCTCGTCAATGAGCGCCGCCCAACCAAGGTCCAGGTGACAACACGCGAACCTACCATGGCTCGGTCCGGCAGAAACGCCGACCCTCTCAGTGCTGGTAGCGACAACCTCAAGTCAAGACCACGGAATGTCGAGTCGAGGGCGACAAGAGGAGACAGCCGCGCTGCTGAACTACCACCACCAGCCCCTTGGGAACCTGCCGCTTCTCTACTGCCTCACACTTCGGCCCCTTTAGCCTCGCGAGTCTCGATACCGCCAGTTGCTTCGTCCGCACCTCAGGCACTACAGCCGCGACTGCTTGCCGAGCTATCATTAAATGCGCAAGAGGCTGCGATAATCGAGGACTTGCTCTTCGTGTTTATGGGCTTCGAAGGGCAGTACATTCGATTCGCGAAAGGCTACAACCCCTACGAGGAACGAGACCGCTTGTCAGGGCCACAATGGCGCATCCTCTCTGGGCTGGATCCCAGCTTGCTGGACCTTACACAATCCATGCTGCGCATGGCCTCCCACTACACGGCGCTTGAGACTTTTGTTGATGTTCAGAGTCGGGAGGAATTCGGCGCCGTCAACCACGCCTTGTGCGCCTCGATACGGAGGTATCTACAGGAATACCTGGTCATGGTCGTCCAGCTGGAGACACAATTTCTGAACGACAAGAACTTTACATTGCAGCAACTCAACGTTCACATCCTTCCTAGCAGTCACCTGATGGCCCAGATGTATGGGTTGGCTTTGGAACTACTAAAGCGGAATGCGCTTCTGGACGATGATACGGACGAATCGAGCGATAGTTCGGATGACGACTTTGATCACATCATCGAGCAGTTAAGAGATGGCGGCGACCTTGTACCGGGGAACATGACGGGCAAGAAGATATGCAAGGGAGGCGTGGTATTAGGACTGATAACCAAGAGACTGGAGTCGTTATCTGGAGATCCGTCCGCCAGGGTACTACTCACGACTCTGCTACGGGACGCAAGCCGTCCATATATGGCAATGTTGAATGAATGGTTACACCACGGAAGCATCAACGACCCACATTCCGAGTTTTTGATCAAAGAACAAAAGAGCATTCGCAGGGACCGGTTAGAGCAGGATTATACCGACGAATATTGGGAAAGGCGATATACTATACGAGATCACGATGTACCACCTCAATTGGAGGCCGTCAAGGACAAGGTTTTACTTGCGGGTAAATACTTGAATGTTGTTCGAGAGTGCGGAGGCGTCGATGTTAGTCGCAAGATGCAAGACGTACCAACATCCTTCGACGACAGCAGATTTTTGGAGAACGTGAGCAACGCCTACGCTCATGCGAACGGATCACTAATGCAGTTACTTCTTACGACACACGAGCTGCCGGCGCGACTAAGATCTTTGAAGCACTACTTCTTCCTGGACCCATCGGATTACTTCAACTACTTCCTAGAGTTAGGAACGTCCGAACTACGAAAGCCCGTCAAGGTGGTGAACACTGGCAAGCTACAGTCTTTGCTCGATCTAGTCCTTCGACAACCGGGGAGCATAGTCTGTCTTGACAAGTTCAAGGAGGATGTCAAGGTGGAGATGAACGAGATTACGCTGCTCAAGTCACTTCAGCGTGTCGTCAACATTACCGGTATCGAACAGGGCGAAGCGCTTCAGCTCACATCAAATCAGCCTTTGGAAGGTGACAAAAACGCCACTGGATTCACCTCACTACAACTCGACTATACCGTTCCCTTCCCGGTGTCCCTTGTTATTAGCAGGAAGACAATATGGCGTTATCAGGCATTGTTCCGCTACCTTCTATCGCTACGTTACCTTGAGACTCAACTGTCGGTAACATGGTATACCCATGCAAGCGGCACGGCCTGGACACATCGTTCATCGAACCGTATGTTGGAGATATGGAAGCGGAGGGTATGGACACTGCGAGCTCGCATGCTTGTATTCGTTCAGCAGCTGCTTTATTTTTGCACTGCCGAGGTAATCGAGCCGAATTGGCAGAAGCTGATGAACACGCTACGGGATATCGAAAACAACTGCGCGGGAGTGACAACACAAGACGGCACATCCACGCCCAGGGCGTCGTCTTCCAAGAAGCCTCATACCGTCGATGGGCTGATGCAGGAACATGTGGATTTCCTAGACACTTGCTTGAAGGAGTGCATGTTGACCAACAGCAAGTTGTTGAGGGTATGCCTTCTTTTCCCTATCTTCTATCTCATCGGAATACTAACAACGCAACCTAGATCCACTCAAAACTAATGCAAACCTGCTCCATCTTCGCCACCTACACCAACTGGCTTTCACGAGAGCTCGAAAAGTCTGATCCGGACCTAACAGGCAACACCAAGCCCGGTAACATGACCGATGACCAATGGCGACAGTTCCTCGTTATTCGGGGAGAACGAAAACAACAACAACCGACATCAAAAGACGGAGACACAAACATGGGAGGAGAAAACGACAAAACCCCAGAGACGAGGATGAACGAGCTCTTCGAGGTCATCAGGAAGTGGGAAAGCAACTTTAGTCGACACCTGCAGATTTTGCTGGATGCGCTGAATCACTATGCGGCCACGGAGACGGTGGTGTTGTTAAGTCTTTGTGCGCGGTTGAGTACGGCTAATCAGGGGACCGAGTATGCTGGGTTGAGGAGTGAGGAGGATGGGGGACATCATGGTGGGGGGTCATGACGGATGTTGGGATAGTGGTTTAGCTGTGTGGGGACTTTGATGAAAAGGGTGAGAGAGGAAGGGAGAGGAAGGGAGAGGAAGGGAGACAAAGGGAGGAAACAGAAGGCATTATTATCGTGATACCACCCATGAACGCAAGAGAATAATAATCATTGAGAGGAAGCATTATACTCGACAGTGTTAAAACACTTTTTGGGAAACACTTGAATGAGAAAGTGTAAGCGAGCGTGTCGAAATGGTCAGGAACTGCCATTGCGCCCATGTTTAATCTCAACTGGGACCAGATCTGAGATCCCGTCCGGAGATGTCCATCTCGCCTCAATCTGTATATCCACTACGACGCATAGACCGGTAGCCCGGCTTTCGGAACCATTCCAACTTAGCGGTCTCATCCCGCCCACGCGAGGCCCGTCACCGACGTGGGGGTTCAAGGGGCGGATTCTGCATCCTTTTGATCAATTTTTTATTTTTTTGGATCTCCGAGAGCGCCTATCAACCTTATCATCCCATCTGATTTGCCAAGCATTCTGGAAATACCATAGTTGTTCCTTATCTATGACTTCAAAGCTTCCCCTTTCTGGAAGTGGTTGACAACTCCGCGGAATCGCAGTCCCGCGAAGTTGCATTTCTCCGTGGAAGCGGTAAGGTTTTGAATCTGGAAAAAAAAAAAAAAAAAAATTTAATTTTTGGAACCAGGACAGCCTGGACTTTGGGATCATTGAAAGAGTGAGTGCCTGGATTACCTGCTCAAAATGGAATGATAGGAGCAGAAAGGTACATGTGCTTATACTGTGAGATGTATGCAGAAGTGAAGTATCACAAGGCACAACTTTTGGATGAGCTTACCTAGCTTTAGGTACTATCTACTATCCATGATGTGACTCTCGAACTCGGAAAAAAAGAGGTTCGTGATACCAAAGAATGGTTATTAATTCGCCATTCAACGATCATCACTGATATTGGTCTCTTATCTCCCATTGTGAGGATTCCAGTTCCTGTCACCATTTTGCAAACATCTGCAGCACATCTGATGTTCGTTATTTGAGTTGCAGCATCTCCCGGCACACCTGATGCATAATACCCTTTTGGCCTCTTGATCTCTTGTGTTTCTGTTAGCACTCTCATCGGTTCGCTTATCACTTACACCTCACCTTGGAAACGCCATGGAGGTCGTTTCCAACATCGACGATGCTGCTCACCCACGAGATCATATGGGACAGTCCTTGCTTGATCCCGAAAATCCAAAGCAATCCACATCAATAACACCGTCGACTCTCATCTTACCAAATGGTGCCCAAGAAAGTCCAAAGACAGACTCTTCGTCTGACATTGACGAGACCGACAGTCAAACCACCAGTCCGACAACAACAGACTTCTCCTCATCATCCGACAACACAACAGACTCCTCCGACAATGCCTCCTCCACTCGCTCATCCACCAACAATATCTGCCCTCCTTCCCCAATAACCTCCAAATCATCCTTACCATTCACCTCCAAATCCTACCCCCTCCCCCCACCCTCCACAATCCTCGCCGAAGTCCTCCCCATCGACCTCAAAACCCCCGACCACCTCATCCCGCGCGACCCACGCCTGATCCGGCTCACTGGTGCTCACCCCTTTAACGTCGAACCGCCTCTCTCGACACTTTTCGAACATGGCTTCCTCACCCCACAAAATCTGCACTACGTCCGGAACCACGGCGCAGTCCCCACTCTCTCTTCCGAGGACGAGCGAGAGAGATTGTTAGACTGGGAGTTCACCGTCGAAGGCCTAGTCGAAACTCCTCTGAAAATAAGCGTGCGGGAGCTGATGAACAGCCAAAAATGGGAGAACGTCACGTATCCGGTGACAATGGTGTGCGCGGGTAACAGGCGGAAAGAGCAGAATATGGTTCGCAAATCCAAGGGTTTCCCCTGGGGTGCTGCCGGGTTATCAACAGCTTTATGGACGGGCGTTTCGCTGTCTGATATCCTAGCCAAAGCTAGGCCATTGACAAAAAGCGGAACGAGATACGTCTGCTTCGAAGGCGCTGACCAACTTCCCAACGGGGTCTATGGGACATCAGTCAAACTCGCCTGGGCAATGGATCCTCACAAGGGAATAATGGTCGCTCATAAAATGAATGGCGAGGAACTCCATCCCGACCACGGCCGGCCGGTGCGGGTAGTTGTTCCGGGTCAGATCGGGGGGAGGAGCGTGAAGTGGTTGAAGAGGATTGTGGTTACGAGGGGGCCGAGCGAGAATTGGTATCATGTTTTTGATAATAGGGTGTTACCGACGATGGTAGGGCCGGAGAGCGGTGAAAAGACGAGAGAGATGGAGGAGACGTGGAGGGATGAGAGGTATGCGATTTATGAGTTGAATGTTAATAGTGTGGTTTGTGAGCCGGGACATGGGGAGGTTGTCCCGCTGAAAAAAGGGCGGTTGTATAAGTTGAGGGGGTATGCGTATGCGGGAGGAGGAAGGAGGGTGACGAGATTGGAGGTTACCCTTGATCAGGGGAAGAGCTGGAGGCTTGCTGATATCGACTATCCGGAGGATCGCTATCGTAAGGCGCACGATGAGGAGTTGTTTGGGGGAAGATTGGATGTGTCGTGGCGGGAGAGTTGCTTTTGTTGGTGTTTCTGGGATTTGGAGATTCCTCTTTCTGAGCTGCGCGAGGCAAAGGACGTGTGTATCCGAGCGATGGATGAATCGCTGGCACTGCAGCCCAAGGAGATGTACTGGAGTGTGCTGGGGATGATGAATAACCCTTGGTATAGAGTGGTTATTCACCGTGAGGGCGATTCCTTGCGCTTCGAGCATCCTACTCAACCGGCGCTGATGCCGGGCGGTTGGATGGAGCGGGTGAAGAAAGACGGCGGCAATCTTGCCAATGGGTTTGGGGGTGAGAAAGTTCCCGGGACTGAGGAGACTGTCGTCGAGAAGGAACCTGTCAAGGAGATCAGCATGGTGGAAGACAAAGTCACTCGACTTGTCACCCTCGAAGAGCTCCGTGAGCACGAAGATGAGAAGGAACCCTGGTTCGTCGTGAACGGCCAAGTTTATGATGGTACACCGTTCCTCGAGGGTCATCCAGGTGGTGCTGCCTCCATCAACGGCGCTGCAGGGCAGGATGTGACGGAGGAGTTCCTAGCAATCCGTAAGTCCATCTCGCTGTCCGCCATCATGAACTCATCCTGACTGACCCCTTCCAGACAGCGAAAACGCCAAAGCAATGATGCCGACCTACCACATCGGCACCCTCACAGCCTCCGCCCTCGCCGCCCTCAAAGCCTCCTCCACCTCCAGCCCAATCCTCAACTACCCCAACCGCCCCATCTTCCTCCAACCCAAAACCTGGAGCCCCGCCACCCTCTCCCGCAAGAAGACCATCTCCCCCGACACCAAAATCATCCACTTTACCCTCTCCCACCCCTCCCAATCCATCGGTCTTCCCGTCGGTCAACACCTAATGATGCGTCTCTCCGACCCTTCCAAGCCCACCGAATCCATCATCAGGGCTTACACGCCCATATCCGACGGTACTTCCGAACTCGGAACTCTTCGCGTGTTGGTAAAGATCTACTATGCCTCTCCCACAGAAAAAGATACCAAAGGAGGGCAGATGACACAAGCGCTTGACGGTTTACCACTTGGTAAAACAGTAGACTTTAAGGGACCGGTGGGCAAGTTCGTGTACCTCGGCCAGGGCCGTTGCGCGATCAATGGCAAGGAGAGGAAAGTCAAGAGGTTCGTGATGGTTTGTGCTGGGTCGGGTGTGACGCCTATATACCAGGTTTTGAGGGCTGTTGCTTTGGATGAGGAGGATGGGACGGGGTGTTTGGTTTTAAATGGGAATCGAGTGGAAGGGGATATTCTGTTGAAGAGGGAGTTGGATGAGTTGATGGAGAGGGCGATGCCGGTGGGGAGGTGTAGGGTGATGTATACTTTGAGTAGGCCGGGTGAGGACTGGAAGGGGTTGAGGGGACGGTTGGATAGGAAGATGTTGGAGAGAGAGGTTGGAGGACCGGATGGGAAGGAAGGTGAGACGATGGTGTTGCTTTGTGGACCGGAGGGGATGCAGGTGATGGTGCAGGAGGTGTTGAAGGAATTGGGGTGGAAGGATGAGGATGTGCTGGTTTTCTGAATATGATTGAGCGTAGCGTGATAATGAAAGGATAGGGTTTAGATGACGTTTTGTGTTCATCGTGAGAAGCCGAGTGTATGAGCCGCATCATGAAGTTGCAGTGGTGTTTACGAAGTGGTTTGGGAAAAGACATCTCCACGGAGCGATAGCTGACAAGACGTTTGAAAACGCAACCCTATGCAAAGAAACAAGGCGTCAGCTACCCCGCTATAGCCTCTCGTGTGCAATCGAGTGTCCTCTCTACTCTGCTGGTCGCATTGGCCAATGGAATGTCACTCTGAGCTATAGCTACACGTGCTCCATCACATGAGCCGCCCAAATCACTGCACTGTACCGAAGCTCTGACGTCCATCAATTGCCAGGCGCTGTACTGTACCTCTGGCATCCCGGTCCACCTTTTGGACTCCCGCTCTGGAGCCTCGTCCCCTCGACAACCCACATCCACCCCACCGGACTCGAGTCAGTCAACAGTCAACACTCGGGAGGAGACATTCATTCACCATGCGCGCGGCACTCCGATTGCTCGCGACCGCGACCGGCACCGTCCGCCCGTCGGCCCGCTTCCTCAA